TATGGTTTCAGGTCTTACGTTTAAGTCTTTAATCCATTTTGAATTTGTTCTTGTATATGGTATAAGTAGGTGGTCCATTTTCATTTTTTTGCACGTGTCAGTCCAATTTTCCCAGCACCATTTATTAAATAGACTATCTTTACTCCAATCAATTAAATTTTAAGTTTCAGTTCATTGTACTTTTCCATTCAAGATGCTCACTTTGATTCTTTTTATGGAATCCAGTTCTCTGAGGGAAATTCTCCATATCATCTCCCTTGTTTCTCTATTTCCCTTAACATGTTAATCATTTATTTTGAAGTCTTTATTCGCTCTCTCCAGTCTTTGCGTCACCTTTAGGTCTGTTTCTGTCAACTCATTTTTCCTCTTGGATTTCAGTCACATTGCCCCATCTTTTGAAATGCGTAGTGACTTTTAACTGATACTGTGTATGAGAAACCATAGAGGCTCTGGATGGTGTTATCTTCTTTTGGACGATACCTGCCCTCTGCTGGGTGGGTAGTGTAGGGCTGATGACCTTTGGGGCAGAGCTGGGTCAAGTCTGGGTTGTGGTTTTGGTGAGGCTGTCCTTCAGACCCCCGAGGGGAGCCCTCCAGGCTTCCAGTCGAGAGCCTGGGGTCAGGCCAGGGCTCCTTCCCAGGTGTGTCCTGAATGCCAGCTCGTTTCTTCAGCACGACCTCTCCAAACCCCCAGCTGCCACTCTTCCCTCACCGCGGAAGGGGCCCTCCTCACGTTTATTTCTGGCATTCCTGCTAGGCTACGTATGCTTAAAAGAGTAAGAATATTTTATATAGCAATTTTATGTGTTGGGTGTGGGAGTCGGGGGTCACACGAAGCGGGTGCTCAAATGGACTTGCTGGGATTGGGCTTGTGGGTGAGTTGGGGAGGGCTTCAGGGAGCAGGGCTCTGCTTTGGGTTGGGTGCTGTCCGGAGGGGCAGCCATTCTGTGATACATCTTTGGAAGGATAGACTGGAGGCAGGCGGGGACCATCCACTGTAGAGGCTGCAGCCACCGGATTAGGTAGGACAGGGCGCTGCTGGTCCTCGTATTGCTTTGGACTGTGCCCATATTTTGTCTGTGTTCAGACACAATTACGGTGGTCGTCTTGTCTCGAAGGGTCACAGAGGGGCTTGTCTGATGCTGGTGTTGTGTGAAATTGTTTATATTCTAGACAGAACCAGGGCCTGTATCTGAGAGTGCCAGGCCAGCTCCCAGTGGCACCAGGGCCTCGCTGATAGGACCAGGCCAGCTCCCAGTGGCACCAGGGCCTCGCTGATAGGACCAGGCCAGCTCCTAGTGGCACCAGGGCCTCGCTGATAGGACCAGGCCAGCTCCTAGTGGCACCAGGGCCTCGCTGATAGGACCAGGCCAGCTCCTAGTGGCACCAGGGCCTCGCTGATAGGACCAGGCCAGCTCCTAGTGGCACCAGGGCCTCGCTGATAGGACCAGGCCAGCTCCTAGTGGCACCAGGGCCTCGCTGATAGGACCAGGCCAGCTCCTAGTGGCACCAGGGCCTCGCTGATAGGACCAGGCCAGCTCCTAGTGGCACCAGGGCCTCGCTGATAGGACCAGGCCAGTTCCCAGATGTCAGGGGCTGCTTCCTTCTTCACCTGAGGAATCAGCCTGGATGACCTCGCATCAGCCAAGGCTCCATTCAGCTTCATGAATCAGCGTGAGCACCTTCTGCACACCGACCCACCCGGTCAGATTGGAGGTGGCCAGTCTCCTCTCCCTGGGAGGACACAGCAGGCCCAGCCCACCTTGCCCTGGCCCTGCCCGCTGCCTTCTGATGCCCCAGGCCCCCGCACACTGAGACTAGGTCTTCCCTACCTCATCTCAGCAGCTTCCTCCCTGCTTTCTTCGCCTGTTCGCACCCCCACACCATCTCCTGGACATTGTTACTAAATAGATTTATCTTCCTAAACACAAACCCAGCTGTGGCTCCTGCTCGAGTCCCCTTCAGCTGCAGGTCAGGTCCAGGCCGTCACCCGTGGGTGGCCCTGGTCGTGCCACGCCTCCAGATCCCAGCCGTCCCCAGGGAGCCTCCCCAGGGGTTAGCTCAGCCAGCTTTGCCCTCCTTGAACTCAAGAAAACACTGCCCTTGCACATTTCTCTCGGTGCTTACGCCTGAGCCACGGCTACTACGTGAACGCTCCGTGTTTCCTCCTCAGTGTGACTTCCTGCTGGGTCTGTGAGCTAACACTGAGCAGGGTCCGGGGGTAGGGCGCCCCGGAGAGGGTCTGCTCCTGCTCAAGGAGACAGCTGTGGGGAGGTGGGAAAAGGGAGCTGCATCACCTGCCCAGTGCTCGGCATGTGAACAGAGTGACCGAGGGGGCGGTTCTGGGCAGCTGCTGTGCAGGACGAGGTGGATGCCAGAAGGGCCCAGGCGACTGGGAAGGCAGTGCACATCCCAGCCTGGGGAAGTGGGGCCTGCCTGTGGCTCAGACTAGGTCAGGCTTGGGGTGGAGGGGCCAGGCGGCAGCGGGAGGTCAGCTGCAGCAGCCAGAGGGCATATGGCAGGGACTGCATGCCAGGCAAGGAATCTGGACTTTGTCCCACTGGCAACCATCAGGGTTTATGGAGGTGAAATGACAATGAGCAAGAGGAGGCCTTGGCAGGGGGAGGGTGGCAGAGGAAGAGGAGTGAGGTGGGGTGGACGAGGGGAGAGAACAGCCCTCTTTCTGGTTGGGTGTCTGGCGTGGACGCTGTTGATGGAGGTAATGCAGAAACAGCAGGTTAGGGGGAGAACGAACTTGGCTTTGGGCAGGCCACAACTGAGGTGCCCATGGACATTGGGGGGCCGTGTGCTGGCTTGCATTGTGTGGGTCCCTTCACAGATGCTGGGGTGCTGGTGCCAGTTAGAGGGGGTTGATGGGCTGCCCCCAGGAGAGGGTTCTCAGGCCAAGCTGGAAGGAGGGTACTATGAGAGGGTGCAGTGAGGACTGTCTGTCCACTGGGGTTAGGAGCTCAGGAGGGCTCAGAGCAGGGAGGCCCTGAGACGGAGCTGAGGCCCCGGGCCGTGGAGGGACCCTCTGTGGGGAGGGTGAGGATATGGACAGCTGGCCAACCTTTGAATGCACCCTGGAGCCCGGGCGTGATGGCTCAGGGCTCGAGTTGGGGCAGGAAGTGCCACAGGGTAGGACATGCACAAGCTGGGCTGATGGTCCTTGAATGATGAGGCCTGGCGAGGCCAGTGGAAGGTGCCAGAGGCAGGCTAAGGCCAGCTGGCCGAGCCCTCAGTCTTTGTCCAGCCCTCAGCCGGGAGCTCTAATCTGCAGGTTTCTCGTGGGGAGGGTGGAGAGGTGTGGAGGGCCTTCGTCTGAGTCAGGCCTGGGTGGCACAGCAGGTGCCGGAGGATGGGTTCCCTGGGGGCCCTGCAGAGACAAGAGTCTGAGGAGAATGACAGGCCTGCTCTGGGTGAGTCAGTGACCTAGGCCACTCGCTGCCCCAAAGGCCCCAGGTGACAAGGTTAAGGTTCTCACAGGACACTCCATCATGCTATGCAGTTCCCAGGAGTGAGTGGCAGACACAGGCCACTTATCATCATGTGACTTAGGTACCAGGTTTAACTTCTGGGAGCCTCAGAGTCCCTGTTCAACAGCTGGGAATCCTGGCACATACCATTCGCTGTGGCTGGGAGTGCAGAAGGGAGCTGGGAGCCGGCAGAGAAGGACTAGCTGCTGTCGTTAACCCCTGCCGCAAGCTAGCCCCACTGTCAGTGCCTGGTCCTGCCCCCTGCACCATCCCAGTGGTGCCTAGAGCCCCCACCCCACCTCACGGAGAAAGTGGCGGTGAGAAGAGTGAGAAGAGTGAGGAGACGAGCAGAGAGAGCAGAGGTTCCCTTTATTGGAATTTTAGACAGCGTAATGAGAGGAAGGCGTTCTCCTCCCCCGAAATATTCCATCCTTTCTGCCCTCAGGGCTCAGCACAGGGACGAGACCCTCAGCCCTCAGGTCCCCGCCAAGGGCAGCACTCCAGGGTGGGGGTAGGGAGGGGAGGGGGTACTCTATGCCAGGCGGGAGCTGGGATAGGAGGGGAGACGTGCACCCTCACCTCTTGGCTCGATCCCTGTCCCCTGGGACCTGGTGTCACCCCCTGGGGTGGGCTGGCAGACAGGGCTCATGCAACAGTGAGTGGGTAGGAGGTGGCACGGGAACCTGGCCCCGCTGCCCTGTGGTGGGTGGGAGGGCTGGAAGGGGCCATGCTGGCCCCCAAGGGTCCAAATGGAAGTATCTGTAGTATACACACAGGGGGGTGGGAGGGGCTTCCTCAGTCCAGGGAGGAAGACGGGGAGGTCCGATAGCACTGCCACACCAGCCATGCCGGCCACACAGGCCCACGCGTGCGCGCGGGGCCCAGCTACTCCTTGGCGCGGCCGATGATGGTGAGAATGTACAGGAAAATGTTGATGATGTCCGTATACAGGTTCAGCGCTGCGAACACGTACTCCTCCGGGCTCAGTGACAGCTGTTTGTTCCCCAGCAGTAGCTGGGTGTCCACCGCCAGGAACTGGGGTGACAGCACTGGTGCTGAGAAAACCGTCCGCCCACCTGCCCGCCACCCCACCTGCCCACTGCCCGCGCCCACCTGGGGGCCCTCACTCACACAGGTGAAGAGCAGGGCACCAAGTGAGGCGTACACAATCTCTAGGATGCGGCTGCGGATGAAAATGCAGAGCAGGGCGAACACCACCAGCACCACCATGCTCACCAGCAGCACGCCCATGCACGACGTGAAGTCATAGCGAGTCTGTGGGCACAGGGGACAGCAGGCCTTGGGTGCCACCCCCACGGCTGCGGGCCCCCCACCTGCACGGAGAAGACCGCCGCGAACCCCACCTGCATGGAGAAGATGACCACCGTGAAGCACACGGTTGTGGTGATGCCCACGGCCATGATGACCGCCTCCGTGTTGTAGAAGCTGGCGATCATGCCCACCATGTAGGACAAGCTGACGGTCAGGATCGACTGCGGGGACACAGGGCCTTAGGTATGGGGGCCACTCCTGCCCCACCCACTCTGTCGGTCCAAACAGTGGGAGTGGCAGGTGGGAAGGCTGCGCCCTGGGGGCCCGGGGCTCCGGTTTGAGGGTTACCAGTGCGACAAGGTTCCAGGGGTGTTTTCGTCGGAACTCCCCACAGCAGCTGAGGACAATGAGGGAGATGAAGAAGACGGCGTAGGAGACATAGTAGGTCCAGACGTTATGCTGGACGAAGCCCTTCACCTCCTTGACGAACGTGAACACGGCCACGGTGGACAGAGTCACAGACAGCTGCAGGGTCAGCACCAGGAACACCTGAGGAGGGAACTGCTCAGAGCCCTGCCCGGTGCTGCTGCCCCCACCCCTCAGCCCTAGGCCCACCTTCCGGATGAAGGCCTGGCGGATGCTCTTGTCATCCCAGTTGGTGGCAGGGAAGTCCTGGTTGTCATAGTAGGATGGGGGTCCTTCTTCATGATAGTTCCCATGCTGAGGCGCTGGGGAGCAGGATGGGTTGGGTCAGCGCCCCTCACAGGAGCCTGGAGCCCCTGCCGTCCCCGGTGTCCCTGCCCCACTACTCACAGTCAGGGTCCTGTGCCGGGAAGGCCTGTGGTTGTCCATAGGGGTTGGGGGGAAAGGGGCTCTGTGGATATGGCCCCTGAGGGTAGGCCCCTTGGGGGTAGGGCCCCTGAGGGTAGCCCCCTTGGGGATAGGGACCCTGAGGGTAGCCCCCTTGGGGATAGGGGTCCTGAGGGTAGCCCCCTTGGGGGTAGGAACTGGGGCCCTGGGGATACCCTGGCTGGCCATAGGGGGAAGGCTGGAATGGGGGCTGTGGGTAAGGGGCCCCCGGGTAGGGAGGCATGGGGGGCTGGGGCCCCCCAGGATATCCAGCGTTGGGGGGAGGATAGCTGTCCCCAGACACCAAGAAACTCTTCTCATGGGGCATGGCCTCAGGTTCTGCGGTCTCCCCCTAGAGGAGAGACAGATGACAGTCGGCCCTGCGGTGACAAGCCCCCAGAACCCGCCCGGAGCTGCCCCACCTGCTGCCTGGGACCAGGCTGCAACAAGGGAGGCTCATGACCTCTGCCTGCAGCCTGTCCCAGGCCTCAGCGGCGGGGCCAGGAAGGTCGGGTGGGGCTTCAGGAAGGGGCCTCCAGGCCGAGTCCAAAGGTGGAGGAAGGGGCAGTAGAGGGAATGACCGGCAGCCCTAGTTGCTTCTTCGAAGCGACTGGAAGGGCCTTCTCACCGCCGTTGGGGTCTCCCGCGTCCGAGCGAGTCGGGGCTGGGGTGGAGGCGGCCGAGGGAGGTGTGGGGTGTGCCCGGACCCTCCCCTTCCTATCCCGCCCCTTAAGCAGCTTTCAGAGGCCAGAGCCAGGGGCTATTTCTATCCCAGGAAATCCCCGGGTCATCTGTGAGCGACGGGAGCGCTGACCCGTCTCCGAGAGCAGGGCCCGGCCGTCCCTCGCTCCCCGCGTAGAGGGGAGCAGGCCTGGATGGGCTGCCAAGGTGCCTGCCAGTGGGGTTCGCCAGGAACAGCGGGGTGCGGAGGTGTGTGGGGGATGGAAGCGACCAGAGGGCATGCGGGGGAACAAAGCGGGCGTGAGGACTAGGCGGGTGGAGGTGGCGGCCACCAAACCCGCTCCGAAAGCGGGTTGGGCCCTCCTGTCTGATCGGGGGTCGCTCGGGCCGCGGGTTCCGCTGCCGCCGCAGCGCGACGCCCCCTCCCTCCCGCTCCAGGTCGCGGCTCCCTGTCCCCCCCGCC